CCACGCGCCCGCGCTGCTGCCTCCCGGGGCGGGCATCGGTGGCGGCGGGGGCGGCGCTGTGAGCCAGCTGGTGTCTCGGTCTGTGGGCGCGGGCCACGTGGTGGCGAAGGTGCGCGCGGTGGACGCGGACTCTGGCTACAACGCGTGGCTGTCTTATGAGCTGCAGGCGGCGGCGGGTGGTGCGCGCAGCCCATTCCGCGTGGGGCTGTACTCGGGCGAGATCAGCACGACGCGTGTCCTGGACGAGGCGGACGAACCTCGCCAGCGCTTGTTGGTGCTGGTGAAGGACCACGGGGAGCCTGCGCAGGTGGCCACGGCCACTGTGCTGCTGTCTCTGGTGGACAGCGGCCTGGCACCTAAGTCATCTTCGCGAGCGTCTTCCAGCGCCGGGAGCTCAGAGACCGCCCTGGTGGAGGTGAACGTGTACCTGATCGTCGCCATCTGCGCAGTGTCCAGCCTGTTGGTGCTGACGCTGCTGCTGTACACGGCGCTGCGGTGCTCGGCCCCGCCCCGCGAGGGCGCGTGCGCGCAGGGGAAGCGGGTGCTGGTGTGCTCGAGCGCAGTGGGGAGCTGGTCGTACTCGCAGCAGAGGAGGCAGAGGGTGTGCTCTGGGGAGGGGCCGCCCAAGACGGACCTCATGGCCTTCAGCCCCAGTCTGCCACCCTGCCCGGTAGTATCGGATGTAGGAGAGCCTCAGGATTTAAATGATGATCGTTGTGGCAAAGTAAGTGAATTTTCATTTCGCATTTAATCGTTATTTTAAAATATTATAATTGTTTTCCCCATGTTTCTCTTTACACTTTTCTATTCTTAAAATTTTTAATAATTTCGCATTATATACATCTTTTCTTTTATTAAAGATCTTTTTTTTTTTTTTTTTTTTTTACTTTTAGAGAGAGGGGAAGGGTAGGAAAAAGAGGAGAGAAACATCAATGTGTGTTTGCTTCTCACTCACCCCCACTGGGGACATGGTCTGCAGCCCAAGCAGGTGCCCTGACTAGGAATGGAACCAGCAACCCTTTGGTTCACAGGCCCGCATTCAACCCACTGAGCCACATTAGCCAGGGCTATATACATTTTTCATTTTTCTTTTAATTATGATCTTTTGGTTCATTATTAAACTTAGTTTAAAGTGTTGTCAGACATTAACATCATTCTACAGCAAAACAATTTTTCTTCAAACTAAATGGGCATTCATAGTAGTATTTTTAATTCTGTAGAATTGTCATATCTTTCCATTCAAACTTCAGGAGAATTATTTCTTCTTTAGTCATTAATGTTTTATCATTTTAATGTCACTTTATCACTTATTCTTTTACCCTTTCTGTTTCTCTCTCATTTCTTTTCGTTTTCTTTTTTGATGGTGAATTTTATTTAAACAACAATATCAAGTTATCCATTTTGTGTATGTACTCTGTTCATATTACACATTAAAATTTTAGAAATTTATTTATTTTATTTTTAGAGAGAGGGGAAGGGAAGGAGAAAGAGAGAAACATCAGTGTGGTTGCCTCTCATGTGCTCCCTAATGGGGACCTGGCCTGCAGCCCAGGCATGTGCCCTGACTGGGAATCCTTTGGTTCATAGGCCAGCACTCAGTCCACTGAGCCACACCAGCCCAGGCTTTATTATTCATTTTTTAAAAAGAGATTTAAAAAAATTATTTTTAGAGAGAGGGTAGAGAAGGGAGAAAGAGAGGGAGAGAAACATCCATGTGTGGCTGCCTCTCCAACACCCCCCACCACGCACTGGTATACAGAAAACCAGGATTATGCCTGGACTGGGAATAGAACCAGCAACCCTCTGGATTGCAGGCTATCTCTCAATCCACTGAACCACAACAGCCAGGGACATATTATCTTGTTCTTTAGATACCCTTTGATCCCAGTGATTCCAAGAATCTGTAGTGTTTGTTGTTGGCCTTTTAAACCACTTAGAAATAAAGGACAGAAGTTAGTTAGCAGACTTAATTCTTCTGATTGGGATGAAGGAGTGAAAGGGGAAACTTCATACTCTTTCAATTACCATGTGGCACCCACATTATTGCCCGGTACTTCAGGAATCCAAACATGGGAGAAATAGTAATTGAAAGGAATCTGGACTTTGATCAAGTAAATCTATTTAAAATCTGTGCTCCTTAGACACTGCCTGTCTTTTTTAGGGAGAGTTATATCCTCTGATTTAATGCATTCACTATTCTTTCTGTATTATGATTTAAACTATTCATTATTTCTTACATGAAAGCAGCAGATTATAGTGTTAAGTGTTGTAAATTTTGAAGTCATTCTTTCTTTCCTAAATTTCCTGCCTACCAATTTTGTTCTGTGCAGTAAGGATAATTGTTTAAACCCTCAGTTTTCCAGCTGTAAAGTTGGAATGATAAACAGTATCTGTCACAAAGAACTTGAAGTATTTAGTAAGTTGATACTTATAAAGTACCCAGAATAGCATTTGTTAATCAGTGTTTAGCAAATTAGCTATTTTGTGAAGAATAGGACAATTTTAAATGTCAGAAAGTTGTTGCCATGGCTTCTACATTAATTTTATGTGAACATTATTACATGTTTTACCGTTCATGGGGGAGCCATAATTAGCAAGTTAATCCAAGATGTCTCTAGCATTTTGAATGCCATGTACTATACTGAAAAGATAACTTAAAACTCAGTTTTCAAAGTTGAAAATTGAATTCAGACTTGGAAGTGAAAAAATGCTTTCATAAAAGACATTTAATTTGCTGAACCCTCAGTGCTTTGCTGAAGGTGATTTTAACTCCTTATGTTGTCCGAGTTTTACAGGAAATACTAGATTATCTTTCAATGGAATAGTGTATTTTCTCACATTTAAAAGTTGCTAAAGATCCATGAGAAGACTTGGTTGGGGTTCATGTTTTCCATAAATCTGTTCGTTTTCCATTCTTGAAATTGCAAAACCATTAATAATGTTTTTTTAAAATAAGTAAGCACATAATTTTTAAACACATACTTAAAAGTGACAAAATAAGCCCTCATTATATTAGCCAATAACAAGCATCATTTGGGTAGATAATTTTATATAACAACCTTACAAACAACATGCTTTTTTAGGAAATGGGCAAGCCACAGCCATTGCTCTTGAAGAAACATTTTAAAAAGGTTCGAGGCAGATCTCCAAGTGCATGCTGTTGTGCCAAGACTCATCGAATTAACAGGACCCAGTGCCTGGTCTCAAGAAGTTTATAGAAAAATAAAGATATATGTCGTGGAAAAATATGACCATTTTACAAGGCAGAATATTCAGGTACAAGCAAAGTAATTCCTATGGTTGGAATTGAAAAGAAAGATCTGCCTGTTTTCCTTGTTGGAGGAACCGTCAGTAGTTACAGTTTTTAGGGTTTTGCAATGGAGGAGTTTCCCCTGGAGAATCATGAATATAACAGGGATTCTTGGAACCAGATGAACTTAAATGAGTACACAGAAAATTCCAAAGGTACCTGGAAAGGAGTAGTTTGTTTTCATCAAAACATATGGTTCTCATAGGAAAGACTATGAAATAAGACAGGAAAATTAATATGAGAGAAATCTTTGCGGTAACTGTGAGCACTACACAAAGAAATTTTAACTCACCTCTAATGTCAATGTGAAGCAGTGAGAATAAAAGGTGTTTTCAGAAAGATGACCATCAGGGTTAAGTAAAGAGTAAATGGGGTTATGACAAGAGAACACAATCTGATGCAAATTGCAATAATTCAGGATGGCAGCAATATTTAGAACTCCTTTGGACAGAGATCAATCTTGGGAAGCATTAGAATGAAGATGTAGTTATTTTACTTGTAGTTAGGAACACGGGAATGACCACTTGAAACTTGCTATGTTAACTACCATGAAAAGAATAAAACACCAAGGTTTGATTAAAGGACTGCTCTAGTATGACAGATGAGTACCGACATTTATCTAATAAAGTAAACTTACATGGTGAAATAAATAATCTAAGTCATATTGGAGATCATAAAACAGTGGATATTCATAAAGCATGAAGCTTAGAAAGGATGGAAAGAAGAAAGAGATATAAGAACCATAAGCTCTTGAAACAGGATACATAAATTGTGATGAAAATAGAAACTCAGAATACTTCCTCACAAAATTCACACAACACAAATTATTTCCCTTCAAAGATCCCCAAAACCAACCACTGTGTTTTCTTAAGAAAAGTATATAAATTAGTTGCTTATATTCCTTACTTCTGAAAAAACAACCTTTTTAAGATTCTCTTCCATTGGTAGGCTCTTGAGATCATAAATCTCTAGAGAGACCAAGAATTTTCTTATCAGAAGTCTAAACAAAAAGTGTTTTCTGAATCTGATCAAAGGATTTTAAAAGTAACACAATTTGGATGTCACTTAGACTTTTTAAAATTTTTTGTTCATTTACTTTTAGAGATGGGGGAAGGGAGGGAGAAAGAGGGGTCATGCCTCTCCCATGTCCCCAACTGGGGACCAGGCATGTGCCCTGAGTAGGAGTCAAACCAGTGACTTTTTGGTTTGTAGTTCGGGGCTCAATCCACTGAGCCAGGGTGTCACTTAGACTTTTAGCCTTATTTTAAAACTTTCTGGAAATACCTGTTGTTAAAGCACAAGGAAACCACAGTTAGGATCATACTAAATATTCAGAAGTTAAGTTTCCTAAGAAAGCCCTTAACGAACATGAGAATGTTTTTTTTTTAACAAAAATAAAGGAAAAATTCAGAGGTTGAAATAAAACTTTGCATCTTACTATATCAAGTTGAGTTTTGTAGTTCGTACTTACTATTTGGGCCACATGATGTCGCTCTTCACCGTGCAATTCTCTCATATTGAAGACGAAACTAAGTCATCCATTTTCGCGTTGGAAAGACTCCCCGCACTGTTACCTTGTCCGGAAACTGAACAACGAGGAGCAAATCGGGAGACTAGAGAAGGAATAAGAAAATTCTTATGCTTTTTGAAACAAGTCACGCTGATTAAAATTAAAAAGCAATAATTTGAAATGGTGGATTCGGATCCAGGAGACTCGGGGAACCGCAGTCTGCTGCTGTTGTTGATAATTCTCACAGCCTGGAAGCCGGGGAGCGGTCAGGTCCACTACTCGGTCCCCGAGGAGGCCAAACACGGCACCTTCGTGGGCCGCATCGCGCAGGACCTGGGGCTGGAGCTGACGGAGCTGGTGCCGCGCCTGTTCCGCGTGGCGTCCGAAGGCCGCGGGGACCTGCTGGAGGTGAATCTGCAGAATGGCATTTTGTTTGTGAATTCTCGGATCGACCGCGAGGAGCTGTGCGGGCGGAGCGCGGAGTGCAGCCTGCACCTGGAGGTGGTGGTGGAGCGGCCGCTGCAGGTCTTCCACGTGGAGGTGGAGGTGAAGGACATTAACGACAACCCGCCCGTGTTCCCGAGAGCACAAAAGAATCTGTTTATCTCGGAATCCAGGCCTCTTGACTTTCGGTTTCCACTAGAGGGAGCATCCGATGCAGATATCGGGGAGAACTCTTTGGTGACTTACAGGCTGAGCCCCAATGAGCATTTCTCTCTGGACGCCCCAGCCGCAGACGAACAGGTAAGATCTCTTGGACTTGTGTTACGGAAACCTTTAGATAGAGAAGAAGCTCCAGAGATTTTCTTAGTGCTCACGGCCACTGATGGCGGCAAACCTGAGCTGACTGGCTCTGTTCAGTTACACGTCACGGTGCTGGACGCCAATGACAACGCTCCAGCTTTCGACAGAACACTCTATGCGGTGAAATTACCAGAAAACATTCCCAACGGAACGTTGGTAATTAAACTTAATGCCTCGGATTCAGACGAGGACTTGAATGGGGATATCCTTTACTCATTTTCTAGTGATGTTTCTCCAGACGTGAAATCTAAATTCCATATAGACCCAATAAGCGGAGAAATTCTGGCAATAGGACATATCGATTTTGAAGAAACTAAAGCCTACAACATTCGAGTAGAGGCGATTGATAGAGGCTACCTTCCACTGGCTGGTCACTGCGCCGTCATTTTGGAAGTTATGGACGCGAATGACAATGCTCCAGAGTTGACTGTCACTTCTCTGTCTCTTCCTATCTCAGAGGATGCTCAGCCCGGCACAGTCCTAACCTTGATAAAAGTGTCTGACCGCGATTCTGGCGCCAATGGGCAGGTGACCTGCTCCCTGACACCGCACGTTCCCTTCAAGCTGGTGTCCACCTTCAAGAATTACTATTCTCTGGTGCTGGACAGCGCCCTGGACCGCGAGAGCGTGTCGGACTATGCAGTTGTGGTGACCGCGCGGGACGGGGGCTCTCCTTCACTGTCGGCCACAGCCAGCGTGTCCGTGGAGGTGGCCGACGTGAACGACAACGCGCCCACGTTCGCGCAGCCCGAGTACACGGTGTTCGTCAAGGAGAACAACCCACCCGGCTGCCACATCTTCACGGTGTCCGCGCGGGACTTGGATGCGCAGGAGAACGCGCTGGTGTCCTACTCGCTGGTGGAGAGGCGGGTGGGCGAGCGTGCACTGTCGAGCTACGTGTCCGTGCACGCGGAGGGCGGCAAGGTGTTCGCGCTGCAGCCTCTGGACCACGAGGAGCTGGAGCTGCTGCAGTTGCAGGTGAGCGCGCGCGACGCGGGCGTGCCGCCTCTGGGCAGCAACGTGACACTGCAGGTGTTCGTGCTGGACGAGAACGACCACGCGCCCGCGCTGCTGCCTCCCGGGGCGGGCATCGGTGGCGGCGGGGGCGGCGCTGTGAGCCAGCTGGTGTCTCGGTCTGTGGGCGCGGGCCACGTGGTGGCGAAGGTGCGCGCGGTGGACGCGGACTCTGGCTACAACGCGTGGCTGTCTTATGAGCTGCAGGCGGCGGCGGGTGGTGCGCGCAGCCCATTCCGCGTGGGGCTGTACTCGGGCGAGATCAGCACGACGCGTGTCCTGGACGAGGCTGACGAACCTCGCCAGCGCCTGTTGGTGCTGGTGAAGGACCACGGGGAGCCTGCGCAGGTGGCCACGGCCACTGTGCTGCTGTCTCTGGTGGACAGCAGTCAGGCCCCGAAGACCTCGTCGCGTGTGTCTTCCAGCGCCGGGAGCTCAGAGACCGCCCTGGTGGACGTGAACGTGTACCTGATCGTCGCCATCTGCGCAGTGTCCAGCCTGTTGGTGCTGACGGTGCTGCTGTACACGGCGCTGCGGTGCTCGGCCCCGCCCAGCGAGGGCGCGTGCGCGCAGGGGAAGCGGGTGCTGGTGTGCTCGAGCGCAGTGGGGAGCTGGTCGTACTCGCAGCAGAGGAGGCAGAGGGTGTGCTCTGGGGAGGGGCCGCCCAAGACGGACCTCATGGCCTTCAGCCCCAGCCTCCCTCAGGGTCCCAGCTCTGCAGACAAGGTAAATCTAAAGAAATTTTATTTTCAGCAATTTAAAAACAGAGTTTAAAGGTTTTTGGCTAAAATATTTCTTATATAATTTATTCTATTTTTAATGTAATTGCTCTAGTTGCACTCTTTCTTTACTTTGAATATAGTTATGTTAAATATGCACTTTTGTGCAATCTTGGGGTTTAAAATTGGCGATTTATATTTGTGTTTTTTGTATAAAATTTTTACTAATTGGAATAATAGGTTCATTTTGAGTTATATAGTGGAATTCCCTAACTGAATCTTTACATGGTCATACTTTATTGTAAAGTTTGTAAATTTTTGAAGGCTAATGATATATTTGCCCTGACTGGTTTTGCTCAGCTGGTTGGGTCTAGTCTTGCAACACCAAAGGGCCTCGGTTAGATTTCCAGTTAGGCACTTGCCCCGGTTGTAGGTTTCATCCTGTCTAGAGCTTACGAGAGGCAACTGATTGATCAATGTTTCTCTCTCACATCGATGTTTCTCTCCCTGTCTCTTTTCCTCCTTCCCCCTCTCTAAAAATAAATACAATCTTTCAAAATAATGAAATAAAAACAAATTATATGCATTTGACATAGTATATAAAAACTTGTATTTTGCCCTGGCTGGTGTGGCTCAGTGGATTGAGTTCTGGCCTGTGAAGATCACCAGTTCGATTACCAGTCAAGGCACATGCCTGAGTTGTGGACAGGGTTCCCAGCTGAGGGCTCTCGAGAGGCAGCCGATCGCTCTATCTCTTGCACATCGATGTTTCTCTCCCTCTCTTTCTCCCTCTTTTCCCCTCCCTCTAAATAAATAAATAAATAAATAAATATTTAAAAAAACATATTTTAACATCATCTCTTCAATATTGCCTTTTTAATGCTTACCCTAAAACTTGAATTATCCTAATTTCATATTATACTAATTTATTTTCTCTTTTTTCATCTTATTTGTCTAGTAACTGACTTCTTTTTAACTTACTATGTAGAATTTTTCCCTGTCCATGGTGAATAAGTGATATTTATAACTTAAAATATAGTTTAAATGACATTTCAATATTATATTTATTTTGTTTCTTATTTGTATAGTTAATATATTCACATTTAAAATTTCAAGCAATCGCCCTGGCTGGTGTAGCTCAGTAGATTAAGCGCAACGGGCCTGTGAACCAAAGGATCGTGGTTCATTTCCCAGTCAGGGCACATGCCTGGGTTGCAGGCCAGTTCCCAGCAGGAAGTAAATCGAATCTTTTTTAAAAAGTTAAAAACAATTTCAAGCAATCAAATCTACTATATAGTGACAAGTCTCACTATCACCTTCAACCCTAAACCATTTGCTTTAAACTCTCTGAATTGCTGAAATATTTAGAATTTTTTTAGTTTCTGTCAAGATTTTATATGTATATAAGTATATTCACCCTGCCTTTATTTTAGGCCAAATAACTTAAAATTCTGCACTTTTTCCCACTATATCTTGGTATTTATGCCACATTATTTAATTAAAAGATTTCTGGTTCTTTGATCATTTTTGGTATTTAAAAAAATATGCACTTTGCCCTGGCTGGTGCAGTTCAGTGGATTGAGCGCGGGCCTGCGAACCACATGATCGAGGTTCCATTCCCAGTCATGGCACATGCCTGGGTTTCGGGCCAGTTCCTAGTGGGGGACCCACGAGAAGCAACCGCACATTGATATTTCTCTTCCTTTCTCCTTCTCTTCCCCTCTAAAGATAAATAAATAAAATCTATTTTAAAATATGCATTTTTATTGTATGGATATATAATGATATATTCATTCATTTCTCTCTTTATACATGGGTGGAATAATATCTTAATTATACAAACTAATAGCCATTAGTATTGTCAGTTTTTACAGTTTGCAAAATATTAAAAAGTTTTTTGATTGGTTAGAAGTTACTATCAACTTTTATAGTTGGTAAAATCTTAGCATACCTTTGGAAGTTATTTTAGGGTGTCTGTTTATTGTTTTCAGTGTTCTTTTACACACAGGTAGAGATTTGAAAATCCAAGAACTTTTCCCAGATTCAATGGAATGATTTACCATTGGCCAGTAATTTGTATACATCATAACCAGACCAATTTGCTGCTCTTGTTGAAAGAATAGGCAATTTTGTAGGAAAACCTATAAATATTCTAACTCTTGATGACGGTAATTATAATCCTATTTTTTACTGCTTTATTTTTCTTTTATTCTCAGATACATTACAAACTTTTTTCCAAGCATATTTAAAGAATATTATAAAATTTTATTTTGGGGGTGGAGGAATTACTAGAAGTTGATAAAATTCCTCCCCCAAACTCCAATTCTTATTCACTTCCTTATTAAGGTACTTTGTTTTTAGAAATTTAATCTCTGACATACTGAGGCTATGAAATTTTCTTTTGTTGGTAAAAAGTTCTCATAAAGATATTTAACAATGCAATTATCTGTACATAATTTTTCTCATTATTTTGAATGAACTTTACAGTCTTTGAGTATGTTGAGGATAATGTAAGTAATTTCACATGAAATGTTTATTTCCCTCTTCCACATTGCTTGCATTTATGTAAGAATTTTAAATGTATTGATTTTATCACCAAAAAATGTCACTGTGATTGAATGTTAATCACATTTTCAGACATATGAATTGCTAGGGACTCGAGTAAAAGCCATATGTGCTGCTTTACATAAGTTTTAAAAATTAGAAATCTTCAATTAGATAAGTTAATGAAATTCTCTTACCTCCCAAGAAAACCTTTAATGTAAAGGATGCTGGTTAATACATATTTTATGAAGTCTTTTCTGATTTAAAGAAAAGGGTTTCTTTGTTGTCCAAAAATAGCTAAAATAGAAGGTCGGTGATAAGTGTCTCTATAGAGATTTCAGTTAAATATATTAAGACAGATCTCATTAAGTAAGGGTGTTTTTTAAATCACAGTTGCCCTTGAGGGCATTTCGAGTATGCCAGAATCTTGAGTGATGGGAAGACCACAAGTTGTTTGGAAAGTCTTTACCATTGAGAATTGCTAACATACGAATTCAAAGGAGAGCTTAATCACCTACTGTTGAGGCGTTTAAGATGAATAAATTAAGTACTAACTTTTGAGGTGGACCTATCAATGCTTAAAATATTGGGAAGAAATTTCTTTTTGAGTAAAGACATCCCCAGCTGGAACAAAATTAATGTAAGGAGCCAGACGGTATAAATGCCTCTACGAGTATTAAAGTTGAAGAGTGACTATTACATAGGATAAGGGAAAAGAAAATATTCACTGAATTAAAAGAACCCCGTTCTAGAGAAGGTAAGTGAAATCAGTAATTATTACCCTTCAGAACCGCATGATGTCGCTGTCTACAAAGAAGTTCTGCCTAGCCAAGCTTCAGCCTTCTCTCCCAGTCCGGTACCGGCTCTAAATGCTGCACAATGGCGGAGGCAGCGGAACTGGATTAAAGACTCCAGGCATTGCTGTAGTTCGTCTCATACCAGACAGGCTCTTTGACAGCAATAAAACGAAAACTTGACATGGTGTTTTCTTGGCGAGGAGGCCCGGAAGCCCGGTGTCTGCTGCTCTCGCTTCTGGTCCTGGCCGCCAGGAAGACTGGGAGCAACCAAGTGCACTACTCCATCCCCGAGGAGGCCAAACACGGCACCTTCGTGGGCCGCATCGCGCAGGACCTGGGGCTGGAGCTGGCGGAGCTGGTGCCCCGCCTGTTCCGCGTGGCGTCCAAAAGCCGGGGGGACCTGCTGGAGGTAAATCTGCAGAATGGCATTTTGTTTGTGAATTCTCGGATCGACCGCGAGGAGCTGTGCGGGCGGAGCGCGGAGTGCAGCCTGCACCTGGAGGTGGTGGTGGAGCGGCCGCTGCAGGTTTTCCACGTGGTGGTGGAGGTGAAGGACATTAACGACAACCCTCCCGTGTTCCTGGTAAAGGAGCAAAAGCTATTTGTTTCAGAATCAAGATTGCCAGATTCTCGGTTTCCGCTAGAGGGTGCTTTGGATGCAGATATTGGAGCTAACTCCGTTTTAACCTATAAGCTTAGCTATAGCGATTACTTCATGCTAGAGGTGAATTCGAAGAGTGACGAGAATAAGCAAGTTGAGCTCATTTTAAGGAAACCTTTGGACCGAGAGGAAACTCCCGAACATAATTTACTGCTCCTGGCCACGGACGGAGGCAAACCGGAGCTCACTGGCTCCCTTCAGGTTCTGGTCACTGTGCTGGACGTGAACGACAACGCTCCCAGTTTCCAACAGTCTGAATACGAAGCAAGAATATTCGAAAACTCACAGAACGGAACAGTAGTCATCAGACTGAATGCTTCTGATCCTGACGAAGGATCTAATCAGGAGATTTTTTATTCTTTTAATAGCCTTGTTCCACCCATGGTTATTGACCAGTTTAGCATAGATTCGAATACTGGAGAAATAACAATTCGAAAGAATCTGGATTTTGAAAAAGTGAATTCCTATAAATTCCGCATTGACGCCACGGACAGGGGCCACCCACCGATGGTGGGTCATTGTACAGTTTTGGTAAAAGTCTTAGATGTTAATGACAACGTTCCTCAGATTTCCCTGACTTCCTTATCCCTTCCAGTGAGGGAGGACGCCCCACTCGGTACTGTGATCGCCCTAATCAGCGTGTCGGACCGTGACTCTGGCGCCAATGGGCAGGTGACCTGCTCCCTGACACCGCACGTTCCCTTCAAGCTGGTGTCCACCTTCAAGAATTACTATTCACTGGTGCTGGACAGCGCCCTGGACCGCGAGAGCGTGTCGGACTATGCAGTTGTGGTGACCGCTCGGGACGGGGGCTCCCCTTCACTGTCGGCCACAGCCAGCGTGTCCGTGGAGGTGGCCGACGTGAACGACAACGCGCCCACGTTCGTGCAGCCCGAGTACACGGTGTTCGTCAAGGAGAACAACCCACCCGGCTGCCACATCTTCACGGTGTCCGCGCGGGACTTGGACGCGCAGGAGAACGCGCTGGTGTCCTACTCGCTGGTGGAGAGGCGGGTGGGCGAGCGTGCGCTGTCGAGCTACGTGTCCGTGCACGCGGAGAGCGGCAAGGTGTTCGCGCTGCAGCCTCTGGACCACGAGGAGCTGGAGCTGCTGCAGTTGCAGGTGAGCGCGCGCGACGCGGGCGTGCCGCCTCTGGGCAGCAACGTGACACTGCAGGTGTTCGTGCTGGACGAGAACGACCACGCGCCCGCGCTGCTGCCTCCCGGGGCGGGCCGGTGGCGGGGGGGGCGGCGCTGTGAGCCAGCTGGTGTCTCGGTCTGTGGGCGCGGGCCACGTGGTGGCGAAGGTGCGCGCGGTGGACGCGGACTCTGGCTACAACGCGTGGCTGTCTTATGAGCTGCAGGCGGCGGCGGGTGGTGCGCGCAGCCCATTCCGCGTGGGGCTGTACACGGGCGAGATCAGCACGACGCGTGTCCTGGACGAGGCGGACGAACCTCGCCAGCGCCTGTTGGTGCTGGTGAAGGACCACGGGGAGCCTGCGCAGGTGGCCACGGCCACTGTGCTGCTGTCTCTGGTGGACAGCAGCCAGGCCCCGAAGACCTCATCGCGTGTGTCTTCCAGCGCCGGGAGCTCAGAGACCGCCCTGGTGGACGTGAACGTGTACCTGATCGTCGCCATCTGCGCAGTGTCCAGCCTGTTGGTGCTGACGGTGCTGCTGTACACGGCGCTGCGGTGCTCGGCCCCGCCCAGCGAGGGCGCGTGCGCGCAGGGGAAGCGGGTGCTGGTGTGCTCGAGCGCAGTGGGGAGCTGGTCGTACTCGCAGCAGAGGAGGCAGAGGGTGTGCTCTGGGGAGGGGCCGCCCAAGACGGACCTCATGGCCTTCAGCCCCAGCCTACCTCCGGGTCCTCCCGGATCGGTAGTTGCAACGGGAGATCCAGAAGCTTCTTTTGACTCCTCTGGGAAGGTAGGTTGCTCTTTAGGTTATTTATTAATATATTTATTTATTTAGTCTAGAAATATTCTTATTACTTATCCAGTACATTTAAATAATTTTTATTCACTTAATTTTAGACATCTGGCCTAATTAAAAAATTATTACCAGAAACTGAATACCTTAAAATTATAGCTGATTTTGTGTTTGTTTCCACTTCCAACTGAGAATCACTATAAACCATACACTGAGCATCACTTATAGGTGCTGAATTGCTTTTATTTGAAAACTCTGTGAGAGTCATACTGAATCACTAAACTGCTGGTGTCAGTGTGCCTGAAAATCTATTTGGTGAAAATCAGTTTAGTTGTAACACATGAAGTAAAGTTCAACATCACTCTTATTTTTTTCATTTCTAAGGTATGGATAATATTTTAATCTAATAGCATTGTTTTTTAGTAACCTCATAGCATAAGTATGTAGTAAGTGTTGCCATGTCAGCTATTTAGTTTTCTACCTTTCTCTGGATGCAGCACTCCTGGGGGCACGGTTGATCAGCACACTAGTGTCTGTAACTTCAGTGAGAACCTCCAGCATTCACCTAGAAATAGTTATTTAACTTTGGAAATGTAATTTGAACAATAATGTTACAAGTATAATTCTTATTAAAACTGTAAAATGTTTCTATGTGTCTGACAATATAGATTATAAAATTTTGATTGAGATTCTTTCCTATACTTCAAAACTGTTTGAAATTTATATTTTATCTGATATTGGAGAAAATACTTCCTGACTGATATATTCTTCAAGAATACTTTCTCCTTTTTATCAAACTTTTCTGGTAATGATATAGAATATCTACCTACATTCTACACTTTGAATTCTTTTGAAATTCATACTCTGGAACTTAAAAAATTACCCCTACCAAATTATATGGGTATTTACCTTTTCTTTAATATTCCAAAAGATAGAAATCTGGATAGTAGGTGATGAAGCTTTAAAGTTACTGCATGGCAAACTTATTCTTCCTAAATTGTGGTTTGTGGCTTTCAAGTTGTGGCCTTCACACTCTTATTATTAGTTCAAGCATTTCTTTTCCAATTTATATTTAAAACTTCCTTTGTATTTGAGTTTTTGTGATGTGATTAATATTTCTGTTCAGGTATTATATTTTTTATTGTGCTAGATATTTTACAAGGTGTTCCTTAATTAAAAACCCAGTAGAGAAAGGTCAGAGTGGCCTTATAGTGTAACCATGAAAATGGAAGCAAAATTACATAAAACATTTCAATAATTTTTATTTCATTCTACAAAAGACATGTTTGATATATGCTAAAAAAGAATCCATTTTTTAATTTTATTTAAAAAAACTCGACTAGTTTCTGAAATTCTGTGGTAAAACCTGTCTATTTCTATCTGCCTAACACACCTGAAATCTAGACTCACACCTTCAAGTGTCTCTGTCCTTGCACTTTTTCCAGGTTTCATATTCTACTTGAACTTGGGCTGAGGTACTTGAATATATCATACTGTTTAAGGAGTGCTACAAATGTCACTCCCCTAAATCCACCTTTATTCTCTTAGAGTTAGTATTATTTATTAAGTAGTTACTATTTCTTCCACAATCATACATTTTATTTTTTTATTATTGATGGCTGTATTGATATAATTGGTAATTTAGTCCTTTGTATTAAAATCCTTATTCTCTCCCAGGATATGGGCTGCCTTCATAAGCAAATTTTCAGAGGATAAGTGAATCTCACAGTAAGGAATTGACTTTTTTGGTCATTGGGAAGTATAAGTATATTGGAATCCAGGAAGGTTGGGATTCAAAACAGATGAGAAGTTTGAAATGCCCAAGTGAGAGCGTAGAAGACACTTTAGTGTTTCGCCTGACAGCTGCCCCTGTGTGCTTCCATAGATAGCGTCCCCCCGTTAAAGCCAGGACCATGGAACCAGTCCTGAAGCTCCTCTGTGCCAGTGTGTGAAGTGCGGTTTCCAGATAGGGCTAAGTGCCGAGCCAATCTTAGACACTTTTGTGAGCAAACAGGGCACTATAAATAAATTTACCGCACTACAGCATTAATAAAGCACACCCCGGGCAAGCTAGGGTATACGGTCAGCCCATTACTAGACCCTATAAAGCTAACTGTATTAACGACGCTGGTTTTCAGACTTCACCTCAGAATTTCTGAAATAAGTGTTACAGGCACCTTGGGTGATTCTAATCCAACTGAAGTTTTATTTTTAAAAAGATCTTATTTATTTATTTTTAGAGAGAGGGGGAAGAATGGAGAAAGAGAGAGAGAGAAACACCAAGGTGTGGTTGCCTCTCATGTGCTTCCCACCCAGTACCTGGCCCAAAACCCAGGCATGTGCCCTGACTGGGAATCACACCTGTGACACTTGGCTCCATAGCCGAGTGCTCAATCCACTGAGCCACAGCAGCCAGGGTTTCAACTGAAGTTTTAGATCCAATAGCCCTTTGACATGCTGGACAAAGCAGATTCCTATCATGTGGTGAAATGTAATTTAGCTACACCCAACTTATTCATTTTTTGGAGATTTCTTTTCAGACATTTATGTTATTACCTAGTACAAAATGTACATTAAAAAGTTTAGTTTATGTCATTACCTTGTGAACGATAAACTTATTTTGGGACTCCAGGTAGTAGCTCAAAATAAACACTGGTGTTGTGGTTGGATGGTTAACTCATTACATTTTAATTTATGCTTTATAAGAAAAGTAACTTTTTAAAAAGAAAGACAACTCTTAAAATCAGCAGTTTAAAGTACTTTGACACCGGAGCCATTCTAAATAAGCAGAGAAGTATAAAAACATAATTTGGTAGCACATATAAGTCAATAAATCCAATAACCTTCATTCCCATCAGTTTTCTTATTCATAAATGTTGATCTATTTCAGCTGTAAATAAAAACTAAAAGAGTTCAAAATTATTGATTTCTTAAAAGCATGTCTTTTATGCATCATAATATCATTAAAGAAATGAACTTTTGGATAAGATTAAAAGTCCTATTAAGTTTTCCTTAAAGAGCCCTGGCTGGTGTGGTGCAGTGGACTGGGCACTGGCTTGCGAGTCAAAGCATCGCTGGATTGATTCCCACTCAGGGCACATGCCTGGGTAGCAGGCCAGGTCCCCAGTGGGAGGTGCATGAGAGGCAACCACACATTGATGTTTCTCTCTCTCTTTCTCCCTCCCTTCCCCTCTAAGAATAAATAAATAAAATCTTTTTAAAAGTTCTCCTTAAAGATAAACTGTAAGTTTTTTTCAGTTGCACAACATATTAATGGAAAATTTAAGTTACTGTATATTTGACTCTAAAAATATTTTTATGGCAGCTGGCAATAAAAAACTTTATTGACACTGGTAAAACTATTAGATAATTCAAAACTGTATACTTGGGAGTATTTGAAAAGCTTAAGTATGAGAAAGATGAAAGTAGTTGTCTGTGAAAGTGGAAATAATGCACTTCTGAATTATTTTATTTATAAGCATAATTAAAGTTCTTTTTTACCCATGTACGATGTATAGAACAAAGTGAAACTTCTCCCCATCTAACTGATTTCTCACAGAAGCCTTTTATGTTTTCTTAAAGAAGAGAGACTCTACTGAGCTTGAGCAGCAGCCGCAGTGAGGGCGTTGTAGAGGTACCATATCACGTTGGTGATAATTTTCCCCAGGACCCAGTTTGCTTTTCAGCATTATGAAAATAAGTGTGGCTACACTGAGGTCTGAGAACAGTTGCCACTTGTGAAGCATTCACTCTTCTTAAGGTACTATACCTGGCACTTAACTCACACAACCCCCACATTATTATACTAATGTTAGAAAAGTGGGAACTGAGACTGATAGAGGTTAAATTGTTTTTCCCAAATCACACAAGTAGTAAATTGGAAACTAGGGGTCAGGGTGGAGAAATTTCTGATGTTGAGACTAGTGTTCTCTTTTAGAACATGTGAACACCTCACAGATAATTGCTGCGTAGGATTAGTGACTAAATTAGGTTTATTTACTATCAAAATAATGACAGAGAAATGAGTTAGGTGTCAGAACTTAAAGTTACCTAAATTTGTCATCCAACAAAATAGGAGTACGCTCATTATTATCCAGGTATTAAGGGTATTTTCAAATTTAGTGAATGAAATGATAATCACGGTTAGGGAAAGCATTACTTCTCTGAGATTCTGCATTTACTAGGGATTTGCAATCGCAACGGACAGTGATTGTTATTACGGAAGAGACGTGATGCGAGGCTTTGACAGTCTGTAGAGATGGAAATATGTAAAGCGGAGTGGACAGTTCAGACAACTGGGCCCCCAGCGAGAGCTCCAACCAGGCCTTCTGGGCTTCATGCATGTACCTACGTGGCGCCCCCGGTCCTGGACAGCTCTGGGGAGGGCTTCTCGGTCCAGCCTAAGCTGAGCTCCCTGAGGTGCCTCAACAGCAGCCCCCAGACCCCTGTCAGCACTCTGAAGTTCTCTCCTTTGAGGGGTTTAGGCCCAACCTTGGCCCACCAGAGAGCATCCAGCCCCTTCTCCTTCCTCTCCTGCTGCAGCAGCTGCCACCACCACCCTGGAGCACTGTCTCCTTCCCCATCCGACCCCCTCAGGGACTAAGTAAGAGGTCCAAGAGGGGCCATGGGCACCCTGGGCTCTGGGAGGACGGGTAAGGGTGAATACAGCTGTCGAGGCTTCTCTCTGCAGGCGGTGAAGGCAGCAGGACCCTGGGGACTTTTAGGGGGACTTCAGTGAGTGTGCAACAGCCTGTTTCTGTGTTGGGAATGGCTGTGACCCTGAATCACAAGCAGGAAGGGCTGGCTGCGGTAATGGCTGCCAGTGAAGGGGACGCCCATGGCTGAAGTGTGCACTTGCAGAATTAAAGTATCAAGTCAAGAGGGGGAAAAATGATTTGAATGAGAGTTCAACTAATGGAATTGTACTTACACATTAAGCCACCGGATGTCGCTGTCCTCCACAAAATGGGATTTTAGAACAAAGGCAGAAACTTGTTTCTCAAGGACTAGGAAGGAGCTTCATTCTGAGATCTCAGCCATTTCGACAAAACTGAATGTAAGCAATCCAACAGGAGAATTCAGGGCGCGTGGCTCTTCTAGACCGCTGACTCGAAGATTCGTGAAAGAGGGGAAAGGTCTGTATGATGTTCGTCTACAGACCCAGAGGCCTGAGAACCCGACACCTGCTGCTGTCGCTTCTGCTCCTCGCATCCTGGGAGTCCGGGAGCTGCCAGGTCCGCTACTCGGTCCCCGAGGAGGCCAAACACGGCACCTTCGTGGGCCGCATCGCGCAGGACTTGGGGCTGGAGCTGACGGAGCTGGTGCCCCGCCTGTTCCGCGTGGTGTCCAAAGGCCGCGGGGACCTGCTGGAGGTAAATCTGCAGAATGGCATTTTGTTTGTGAATTCTCGGATCGACCGCGAGGAGCTGTGCGGGCGGAGCGCGGAGTGCAGCCTGCACCTGGAGGTGGTGGTGGAGCGGCCGCTGCAGGTTTTCTACGTGGAGGTGGAGGTTAGGGACATTAATGACAACCCGCCGGTGTTCTCCGTCTCAGAACAAAAGCTCTCGGTACCGGAATCCCGACTGCTGGACTCCAGGTTTCCGCTAGAAGGCGCATCTGACGCGGATGTCGGAGAAAACGCAATGCTTACGTACAGACTCAGTCCTAATGAGTTTTTCATTCTTGATATTATAAACAAAAAAGACAAAGGCAAATTCCCAGTACTTGTTCTACAAAAACTGCTGGACCGTGAAGAAAATCCTCAACTTTCGTTATTATTAACGGCAACCGATGGAGGCAAACCGGAACGTACCGGATCTGTTTCTCTGCTGATCTTGGTCTTGGATGTCAATGACAATGCCCCTGTATTTGACCGACCCATTTATGAAGTTAGGATGCATGAAAATTCACCGAATCAAACTTTGGTAATATGGCTAAATGCTTCTGATGCGGATGAAGAAATAAACAAAGAACTGATATATTCCTTTAGCTCTTTGGTTACACCCAGCATAAGAAGAAAATTTCTGATGAATGAAAGGACAGGAGAAATAAGAGTAAATGATGCTATCGACTTTGAGGATAGTAACAATTACGAAATTCACGTAGATGTTACAGATAAAGGAAACCCACCTATGGTTGGTCACTGCACTGTCCTATTGGAAATCCTGGATGAAAATGACAATTCACCTGAGGTGGTTGTCACTTCCCTGTCTCTTCCCCTGCTAGAGGATGCTCAGGTGGACACTGTCATCGCCTTGGTCAGTGTCTCTGACCGTGACTCTGGCACCAATGGGCAGGTGACCTGCTCCCTAACACCTCACGTTCCCTTCAAGCTGGTGTCAACTTTCAGGAATTACTATTCACTGGTGCTGGACAGCGCCCTGGACCGCGAGAGCGTGGCGAACTACCAGCTGGTGGTGACGGCGCGGGACGGGGGCTCCCCTTCACTGTCGGCCACAGCCAGCGTGTCCGTGGAAGTAGCCGACGTGAATGACAACGCGCCCACATTCGCGCAGCCCGAGTACACGGTGTTCGTCAAGGAGAACAACCCACCCGGCTGCCACATCTTCACAGTGTCCGCGCGGGACTTGGACGCGCAGGAGAACGCGCTGGTGTCCTACTCGCTGGTGGAGAGGCGGGTGGGCGAGCGTGCGCTGTCGAGCTACGTGTCCGTGCACGCGGAGAGCGGCAAGGTGTTCGCGCTGCAGCCTCTGGACCACGAGGAGCTGGAGCTGCTGCAGTTGCAGGTGAGCGCGCGCGACGCGGGCGTGCCGCCTCTGGGCAGCAACGTGACACTGCAGGTGTTCGTGCTGGACGAGAACGACCACGCGCCCGCGCTGCTGCCTCCCGGGGCGGGCGGCGGGGGCGGCGCTGTGAGCCAGCTGGTGTCTCGGTCTGTGGGCTCGGGCCACGTGGTGGCGAAGGTGCGCGCGGTGGACGCGGACTCTGGCTACAACGCGTGGCTGTCTTATGAGCTGCAGGCGGCGGCGGGTGGTGCGCGCAGCCCATTCCGCGTGGGGCTGTACACGGGCGAGATCAGCACGACGCGTGTCCTGGACGAGGCGGACGAACCTCGCCAGCGCCTGTTGGTGCTGGTGAAGGACCACGGGGAGCCTGCGCAGGTGGCCACGGCCACTGTGCTGCTGTCTCTGGTGGACAGCAGCCAGGCGCCAAAGACCTCATCGCGTGTGTCTTCCAGCGCCGGGAGCTCAGAGACCGCCCTGGTGGAGGTGAACGTGTACCTGATCGTCGCCATCTGCGCAGTGTCCAGCCTGTTGGTGCTGACGCTGCTGCTGTACACGGCGCTGCGGTGCTCGGCCCCGCCCCGCGAGGGCGCGTGCGCGCAGGGGAAGCGGGTGCTGGTGTGCTCGAGCGCAGTGGGGAGCTGGTCGTACTCGCAGCAGAGGAGGCAGAGGGTGTGCTCTGGGGAGGGGCCGCCCAAGACGGACCTCATGGCCTTCAGCCCCAGTCTGCCACCCTGCCCGGTACCAGTGGTGGAGGTGGAAGAACAGTCTATTGGAGGGGATCACTCTAAAAAGGTGGGTATTACTTTTTACCGGTAATTTTCATATTTTGTTTTTTGAATAATATTTTATTTCACTATTTTTGCCGGTCGCACACATGTCTTGGGATATTTTCATCTTTTCTATAGCATATTTTTATAATACCTTAAATATATCTAGTAATTCACACAATCACCTATTGTAACACAGTTTATTTAAAGTTCACTTTATACTTGTGTATTGTACTCTGTGCATTGACTTTTGCTTGATACTTCTATTTTAAAAATATATCACTTATCCTCAATTTATTTATATTTTAATACAAATATTTAATGCTGGTTATAGGTTGTTTCATATTCCATTATCTTTTTAATGTTATAAATATTTGTAGGATTAGTACTTTAATTCATGTTTACTCACTTTTCAAATCTAAATTTTAAAATGACCCTGTTACAGTAAGAAAAAAACTGATCTGATTAATTCTTTTCCTGATAAAAATGTACTTTGCTCCCTTAGTAAAGAATGTGTAGTGTGCCCTGGCTGGTGTAGCTCAGTGGATCGAGCGCGGGCCTGTGAACCAAAGGGTCGCTGGTTCAATATCAGTCAGGGCACATGCCTGGGTTGCAGGCCAGGTCCCCAGTAGAGGACACAGTAGAGGCAAAACCACACATTGAATTTTCTCTCCCTCCTTTCCCTCTCTCTAAAAATAAATAAATAAAATGTTTTTTAAAAATTAAAAAAGAATATGTGTAGTGTAACATAACTTATGCATAATAGAAATTTAACATTGAATAATTACATTTATTCTTTTTTTGGCTATTTTTAGCATTTATTTATTTTTAAATTAATTTTATTTTATTTTAATAGTTGTTCAAGTACGGTTTTCTGTGTTTTACTCCCATCCCATTTCCCCCTCAATTTTATTCGTAAGAGTGTAGCATACAGACTGGAAGTTCATTCATAAAAATGTTCTAAACTGTGCAATTAAGTTGTGTTTTGAGCTTTAAACATTTTTTATTTTATTTCGAGATGGTGGTACCTGTGCTAGTGTGTATTATCACTTATTTTAGCAGCAGCAGAAGTTTCATAGTTATTTATATAAGTGTATCCAGTAGCTCTTTATCTTCTACTCATGTCCTAGGGAGAGGCGTTGCTTGTGAGAGTCAAGCATTAGCTCTTCCACTTTGAGAAAGGGGTCACTATTGTGTTTACTAATGGAGAGCATTTGAAAGTCACTTTTAGTTTTAGGAAATTGAAAATGATTACCTTCATACAAATTAATGCTGGAAGTTTGAAGAAAAAATAGAATTACTCTTTTAAAATGTTTTCTACTTCTCTGGTGTCATGTAGCACAATTTAGTCTGACAGCTTCTCTCGTCATCTGAGACAGGGTTGTGTTGGGTGATGTAGGTTTGGAAATTCAAGACAATTTGCTTTTATGGAGGCCAACACTTTTAACTAGGCCCAATGTCTGTAATTCCATTTAAACATTTTCATTAATTTCAGTGTTACTAAATAGCAATGCAAGTCCTTCATTATCTTGACTCTGGTTTTTAGCAATTACTTTTTTCTCTCTGGATGCAGACTGAGTTTTTACTCTATGTGCTTCATAAATAGCTTGCAGTAAAACTTGACATCTCAGGTCAAGTTTAGGAACACTAAAATGAAAATTGTGTCAAGAATTTAAGAGTGGCGTTGCCTTCAATGTTAATACTTTCCATGGCCAGCTTCCAGCTCTTAGAGATTATAGGTAGTAAGTTATGTAGAGTATTTCAACTTGGGTAAAGAATTCCTTCCCTTACATCTGCCCTCTCTTTCAGACCTTCGTAATGTCAGCGGGCCCTCTGCAGAAAAGCCTTGTCTAAAGATAACTCTTGATGTGAGCTATAAATAAAACATAGAATTATATGTTTATTGATTTTGTCCCATTTGTTTACTTTCTCTTCTTTTGGACGTGTCTCCTCAAAAAATACAAGTATCCCCCCAAATATTAATGTAACAGATTAGGATTTTATCCAGCAGTACAAAAATCCTAAAGGCTATGGAAAAGAAAGTGCAGAAAGGAGAGAAAATGATTAAATAGTTCAGAATGAGAAGGTGAGAGATAGTAAAAACAAATTTTTCTGATATTAGTTTGACAGTGTCTTTCTCTGCTTCTGTTAATAGAGATGAATATTCTTTAAAACTTTGTAAGTAGTCTCTTGCATTCAAATGCAGAATGATTAAAATTTCAGAACAAAAACAAATTTTCTCAGATCAAGGATTTTTTAACATAACTAACACCAAAAAATTAGTCCATTTCATTTAAAACTATAGCATCCCACAAAAGAGTAAAACTATAGTATCTTATTCTTATAATTATATTTAACCTGCTCTTTACTAGATGTTATTAAAATAAGGCTAATCACAGAGTACTCTTAAACTCTGGTGATATTGTCATTTTTAAAAAGATTTTATTTATTTATTTATTTATTTATTTTTAGAGAGGAAGGGAAGGAGGGAAGGAGAGAAATATCAATGCATGGTTGCTTCTCGTGAGTCCCCTGCTGGGAAGTGGCCTGCAACCCAGGCATGTGCCCTGACTGGGAATGGAACCTCGATCATGTGGTTCACAGGCCTGCACTCAATCCACTGAACTACACCAGTCAGGGCTGATATTGTCATTTTGATAGTCTGTTTCAATATGAGTAACCAGCCCTTAGCTTTATTGACATACTGTAGTTATTTAGCAATATGGACACCTTGAAATTTGGGGGCTTTAGAAGTATCTTTAATTTATACTTAATTAATGGAGTGGCTCTTTAAACCAAAAATGGAATGGTCCTTCAGCATGAAGTCATTCCCAAGAGATGAAATTATTTCAATCAGCAAAAGAGGTTTATTTCTTAGTCATGCCTTTTTAAAATTTAGTCACTTCCATGTGCTAAAATTTTTCTTGCTCTTCTTTAGGCAAATATTTTGGTCTTGAATGGGTGGCTTTCACAATTAAAAAAGAATCAGAAGTAATTTGAATGATAAAACTTTGGCATAGAGTCACTGAAGTAGCAGTTTAAAAAGCACTTAAAATGAAGAGTGCACTTTTACATAGAACCTTAGATTCCCTTGGGTATCCACTTACAACTTTTTTAATAGAAAAATTTGGGATTTACCCAATGGCTGCCATCTTAGTGGACAGATTTCAGATATTGGATAGTTGGTTCCTCAACAGCCTTGAGAATGATTAAAACATTTTTCTTTAAAAAAAGATTTTATTTATTTACTTTTAGACAGAGGGGAAGGGTGAGACAAAGAGAGGGAGAGAAACATCAATGTGTGGTTGCCTCTAGCATGTCTCCCACCGGAAACCTGGCTTGCAATCCAGGCATGTGCCCTGACTGGGAATCCAACCAGCGACACTTTGGTTCCTTCAAGCCAGTGCTCAATCTACTGAGCCACACCAGCCAGGGCTAAAACATTTTTCTTTTTAAAAAGACAACACTGATAAACTTTATTGCAATTGAACAGGCATGAAAATCTCAATGTATTTTGTTTGTATTTGAGATGAAAACAGTAAAATAAAATTGAATGAATGAGTTTTAGAATGGCCTTTATACCATACTCTCTTTAAGCCAATTCCGGAATAAAGTGGGTATAAACAGACAAATACAACAAATATAGAAATATTTAGTAGTGTGGGTGTTTTAAATGATTAGAAGAAGCAATGGAGATAATGCAAGTTGAAGTTGTCCTTCAGGATGGAAACACCAATATTCACCCAAGAGAAAAGACAAGATTTGGGGGGCAAAACACACTTTACAATGAGACAAAGGTAAGTATACTTTGTATTTCCAGAAATCAGTACTTGGTAAATTCATTAACATCAAAGTAATTACATTCTTGGATGAATTGATAAGTAGATTACACATCAGCAGTGATTTAAAATACCATTATGTTAAAGAGGTAACTTAGAGAACTGGCATCTTAAGTTTTCCTTTGCACTACTGGACTAAATGTTTAGAATAATTTAATATCTTATAAGGGTTAAGCAATAGAAAATTTAGAATGTTAGCAATGGAATAAACTTAATGAGAAACCATACCAAAAATGATCAATTTCTAAAAGCCTAAAAAAAAAACCAGTATCACGAGCAACCTACAACGTAGTTTTCATTTTCATACACATGGCTATATAGTTGTGCGGAAGTACATCCTCTTAGATGTCTATATGCAAGGTAAAACTCTTCTTGGAATTCTAATTTATAAGAGAAGTCCACCTTTAAAGAGCTAGTGGTCATACACAAGGAACAGATAAAGAATTAAAGGCCCACAAAGAAAAACATGGACCAATATGAAGAAATCACAGAAGCAGCAATATAAGTGAAAGAAACTCCCCTAAACACAAACGTACTTCCATTTTGAACCACAGGATGTCGTTGTTCTCAAAGGAGAGGATTGTTTTAACAAAGAAAAATAACGATTATTCCCAGGACCAGAAAGATTCTCCACCGTTCCGGAGCTTTAAAGACTATTAACACGACTCATATTGTTAAGATCACCTGGGATCTCGGAAATAAAGACTCAAAGGAAAGATCTCAAGAAGAACTACATCGTTCTACTGCTGAAATGTTAATTCACTAACCAGAATCAAGGCATAATAATGTTAGCCTCAGGATCAGGTGACCAGAGAGCCCGGCGTCTGCTGCTGTCGCTTCTGCTCCTCGCGTCCTGGGAGTCCGGGAGCTGCCAGGTCCGCTACTCGGTCCCCGAGGAGGCCAAACACGGCACCTTTGTGGGCCGCATCGCGCAGGACCTGGGGCTGGGGCTGCCGGAGCTAGTGCCGCGCCTGTTCCGCTTGGCGTCCGGAGGCCGCGGGGACCTGCTGGAGGTGAATCTGCAGAATGGCATTTTGTTTGTGAATTCTCGGATCGACCGCGAGGAGCTGTGCGGGCGGAGCGCGGAGTGCAGCCTGCACCTGGAGGTGGTGGTGGAGCGGCCGCTGCAGGTCTTCCACGTGGAGGTGGAAGTGAAAGACATTAACGACAATCCGCCTGTGTTCCCAGCGACACAAAAAAATCTGCTTATTTCCGAAAGTAGGGCTCTTGACTCTCACTTTTCACTAGAGGGCGCCTCTGATGCAGATACTGGGGTCAACGCCCTGCTGACTTACAGACTGAGCTCCAACGAGTATTTCTCTTTGGAAGTACCGACCAACGAGGACGAGGTAAAACCACTTCAATTGGTACTGAAAAAACCTTTAGACAGGGAAGTAGCTTCGGAGCTTCTTTTGGTGCTTAAAGCAACAGATGGGGGCAACCCTGAGCTGACAGGTACTGTAGAGGTACAGATCACAGTGCTGGATGTGAATGACAATGCCCCAGTGTTTGACAAGGCAGTCTATCGTGTAAAATTACTGGAAAATGCAAGGAATGGTACCCTGGTTATTAGACTTAACGCCTCGGATTTGGACGAGGGCTCAAACAGCCACATTCTTTATTCCTTTGCAAATGATGTCTCCCCGGATATAGAAGCATCTTTTTGCATAGATTCAGCCAGTGGAGAAATAAAAGTAAATGGAAAAATAGATTTTGAAGAAACTAAATTATGGAAGCTTCGAATAGAAGCAGTTGATAAAGGAAGTCCCCCAATGTTTGGTCACTGCACAATCTTGATAGAAGTGTTGGACATCAATGACAATCATCCAGAGTTGCGAGTGACGTCGCTATCACTTTCTGTTCCTGAGGATGCTCCACTGGGGACCGTCCTCGCCCTAATCAGTGCGAACGATCGTGACGCTGATGACAATGGTCAAGTTATCTGCTCACTGTCACCCCATGTCCCCTTCAAGCTGGTGTCCACCTTCAAGAATTACTATTCATTGGTGCTGGACAGCGCCCTGGACCGCGAGAGCGTGGCGAACTATGCTGTAGTAGTGACCGCGAGGGACGGGGGCTCGCCTCCGCTGTCGGCCACAGCCAGCGTGTCCGTGGAAGTAGCCGACGTGAACGACAACGCGCCCACGTTCACACAGCCCGAGTACACGGTGTTCGTCAAGGAGAACAACCCACCCGGCTGCCACATCTTCACGGTGTCCGCGCGGGACTTGGACGCGCAGGAGAACGCGCTGGTGTCCTACTCGCTGGTGGAGAGGCGGGTGGGCGAGCGTGCGCTGTCGAGCTACGTGTCCGTGCACGCGGAGAGCGGCAAGGTGTTCGCGCTGCAGCCTCTGGACCACGAGGAGCTGGAGCTCCTGCAGTTGCAGGTGAGCGCGCGCGACGCGGGCGTGCCGCCTCTGGGCAGCAACGTGACACTGCAGGTGTTCGTGCTGGACGAGAACGACAACGCGCCCGCGCTGCTGCCTCCCGGGGCGGGCATCGGTGGCGGCGGGGGCGGCGCTGTGAGCCAGCTGGTGTCTCGGTCTGTGGGCGCGGGCCACGTGGTGGCGAAGGTGCGCGCGGTGGACGCGGACTCTGGCTACAACGCGTGGCTGTCTTATGAGCTGCAGGCGGCGGCGGGTGGTGCGCGCAGCCCATTCCGCGTGGGGCTGTACACGGGCGAGATCAGCACGACGCGTGTCCTGGACGAGGCGGACGAACCTCGCCAGCGCCTGTTGGTGCTGGTGAAGGACCACGGGGAGCCTGCGCAGGTGGCCACGGCCACTGTGCTGCTGTCTCTGGTGGACAGCAGCCAGGCCCCGAAGACCTCATCGCGTGCGTCTTCCAGCGCCGGGAGCTCAGAGACCGCCCTGGTGGAGGTGAACGTGTACCTGATCGTCGCCATCTGCGCAGTGTCCAGCCTGTTGGTGCTGACGCTGCTGCTGTACACCGCGCTGCGGTGCTCGGCCCCGCCCCCCGAGGGCGCGTGCGCGCAGGGGAAGCGGGTGCTGGTGTGCTCGAGCGCAGTGGGGAGCTGGTCGTACTCGCAGCAGAGGAGGCAGAGGGTGTGCTCTGGGGAGGGGCCGCCCAAGACGGACCTCATGGCCTTCAGCCCTAGTGTTCCCCATGGTTCGAGTTCTGGAGATAGTGGAGGACAACAGGAGATTTGCGGGAACGTAAGTACAGTATTTCCGGGATGTATTTCATGCTTTAATGTCAATCACATAGTAGTTTACCAACATACGCTGTAAAGGTTATTGCTTCATTTGTTTCTTTTGGCCTGTTTTCCAATGGCTTATTTTAAAGCACACTGGAGGTCCCACCATTTTTATTACTTTTCACAACTGTCTTTATGGACACACCAGGAATGCTTGTTGGTAGAAATAATAGTAGTAGTAATAGCAGTACTTAAATATTTGGCTAAAACTTCCTGTAAATGCGTAAGTTTAAGTGAGGAAGGAGGCCAGGATCACTGATGAGAAATGGAGGGTGTGGGCAAGGCTTTGTATTTACTTCTCAATTCTGCTGCAAGGTTGTTCTTCCTACTCATTTTCTTGTTCCAAGTGGGGATCGACACTCATTATGTTTACACATTCAAAGTTATATAATAATGCATAACTTTATAACTTCGTTCATTAAAGTTCAAACATTTAAATAACCTTTTGCATTACCTTCCTATAATGCAAAGTTTACTTGTTACTGACCAGCATGGGCTGGTGAGGTGGCCTCCTTTCATGAGCCATTTTGTTTCTTTATAATCAAAAGCATTCTTCGTTCAGATAGTGGGTAGAATTCTTCTCAATTTTAGGGATGATTTTACTTCTTTTGTCTTTATCCATGCACATAGTTTCAAGCTCAGTTCCTTCATAGTCTTCAATTGCTTTAGATAGATATTTTTCTTTATTTCCTAATATAAGCTCAGTTTTGCTAATTGCCTGTTGAATCCATTGCTGTTCTCCTCCAGATTAATTTATTGAGCTCCTCTATTGTATTTGGAAGATTCTTCTGAGAATCGATTTTACTTATATTTCTTCCATTTATGGTACCTGCCATGAGGCTGTGTGGAAATCATATAGGGTAGGAAAATTTATACTTCTTTGTTTTTGAGTTTAAGAGCATCTTCCTATGTATGGGGAAGTGGGATACTGCTTCCTGTATTCACCAAACTGCTTGTCTTCAAAATGACATTGCTTTAAATAACTTAAACATGACAATCATGGGACTTCCATTTGACGCTTCCACTTGGCACTAGTACTTGACAATGGTGTTGTCAATTGTATTTCAGCATTTAACATTGAACTTTAGGTGTATTTGATACAAACACTTTTTTTTGTCACAAAGCTATAGTCATGTGGAATTTCTTTAAAAAGATCACAGAGAACTTTTATTTAGAGCTGTAAAGGTGTGAATCAAGTAATGTGGAAGGGTTTTTTGTTGTTCTTTTTTGGCTCTAGTATACAAATTAGAGATCCTTCAATTAGATTACATGGAGAAATAAATTATATATGATAATTTACCTGTGGGAGGAGAACTATGCAATAGTAGATAAGGGTGAACTTCAAAGAAATGTCAAGAAGGCGTGTGTGGTCATTTTCTGCCTAAAAACTGGGGTGACCTCCATGAAGAGGAACATTAGCAAATCTTCAGAAGAGGGACATCCAAGCCCTGTTATTGTGCTAGCATTGTCTCTGTCCTTATCTGTAGAACAGAGCCACAGCAAATGCCAGCTACCAACTACAGCAAACCATCTGATTCGAACTATTTCTATTTGTTAGACATAGTGCGAATGTGAAAGGCTTAAAATAGATAATTTCATTTAATTCTTATATCAATATGTAAATTACACGTGACTATCCACATACTCATAGTTATTTTAAAGATTATATAAGAGCTGGTGAGATACCTGTCTTGTCCACTGCCATCTGGCTAGTACTTGACAGAGATGACATTTAAATGTGTATCTTTGAGATTCCAGACCCATTCGTTTGTCACTTCAGAGCTTTCTGCAGTAAATCTTTTCTCTAACCAGATGTACTTCTGGTTAGGAAAATCAAGCACAGCTTTATACAAATGAACCCTCTTCTCCATTTTGCTTAGAAAATACAACCATCATGATTATCTTCATGATTAGTTTTGTACGATGCCGTGGGAAGTAAGATGTTGAGTGATTTTTCTTCAGAAGAGTTCATGATTATCATTAATATGTGTGTTATTGCTACACTGAGGTAAGTATTTACATTATTCAATCAGTAAATAATTAAGAGTTGTCTTATAAGGACTATGGATCAGTCATTTGGAAGTGATGTGGATAATAACCATTTCATAGATGAGAGAAATCAGAAGACTGTGGTCTGCAATGCTCTTGCAGAACACCAAACCCAAAGGACCCATATGAAGATGACCTTGTCCTTTTAACAGCTGTGAATAAGGATGATATTTTTGGACAAGTATAAGTGGTAATATGATTATTTCTGGAGTCCAGAACATCCACAGAGGATTCAGAAATGTTTCCAAAATTGCGTATTCTTTGAATGTATTTAGGTCTTTCAGGATTTGGTCTTCTTCAGTCTTATTGTTGTCTGAGAGGTTTGTGCCAAGTAAACAAATAACCTGTGATCAAACAACTGTATTGACCTGAACAAGCCATGAGAACACAGAGTGTGCACCACTGAGTTCAACTTATGGTTTTGTTAGTACAATCTTGAGTAGCACTTCTGATCTATTGATTTTGAAGAACCTCCTGGGTTTCTAAGAATGACTCCAGGTTTTATTTCTTTGTTTTATGTTTTTGATAAGTAATAGTACTAGACCCATTATGACATATTAGTGTATGATGAGGATTAGTAGAACATTGAACTATGCACTCTAATACATGACTAGCAGGGCACCCAGTTGGAACTTAAGACTAACCAGATTGGTTTAGTAAGGTCAGGCACAAAGTTCCTCAGTCTTTTCAATTGATTCTACAAAATCAGTTTATTGATTACCATATATTGATGTGTCTTCTTGGCATTAGCCTATTGCCAGATCACTGGCCCATCCCCAAAGATGAGTTCAAAGACAGCATAACATTGAATACTTCATATACATTTGATACAAACACTTTTTTGTCACAAAGCTATATTTGTGTGAATTTTCTTAGAATGTCTTCTTAAGGGGACTAGTTGAGGTGGTGATAGAGGAAATATTAGAGCCTAAATGCAAAAGATGAGTCATTGGCTTATAAATATAAAACTTTTATGATTTGGTGTAGGTCCAGTCACTTCATATACTCAAAAAATACTACATTACTAGAAGGTCATTCTTTTTTAAAAATTTTTTTATTTATTTTTAGAGAGAGGTGAAAGGAGAGAGAAAGAGAGGGAGAGAAACGTGAATGTGTGAGAGATATTGATCAGTTGCCTCTTGCACTCCTGCAGTCGGGGACACGGCCTGCAACCCAGGCATGTGGCCCACCCTGGAATTGAACCGATGACCTTTTGGTTTGCTGGCCAACACCCAACCCACCAATCTGGGCTGGAATGTAATTCTTAAGTTAACATCCAGCTTTAATAAAGACATGTAACATCATTTGCCTTTGGGTAAACTTTCTTATGTCCATCTCTCTATCTACCTTTGAAGACTCCACATTGCATTAGGGACTCTCAATCTCTAATTTCCATAATGAAGTGGTTGAAGGTCTATTGCTTCCTTTTTCTCCAAAAGAGACCTGACAGGCAGACTTTAAACATCATGTGAAATCTACTGTTATCTAGTATAATGTTATATTTTGATTCGTGGTGGATAGAACTGATTGTTTTACAGATGTATAACACAATTCAGTGTCATAAAAGGTGATGAGTCTGCTTTATTTGATTTTTTTAAAGAAAATTCACATTTACTTTAATAAGAGTTCTAGCATAATGATAATATCAAGACAAAAGTAAATTTGAAAAAAGTGAAATAAGATCTGAAATTGGAAATAGAATAAATGGTAGGGCAAAAGTAGGTTTACAGTGACAAGTACATAAAACACAGAGTTTATTCTTGTATTATTTATTAATTATTATATTATTTTGTCATACAAACAACTGTAAACCTATTTGCCCCACCCTGTACTTATACATATGTGTGTATATTCAAGGCAAAGAAAATTAGTAATGTATAAATAAATATGCTAATAATTTTTATATATCATTGTAATATTTTTAGATTGGAGATAAAACATCAAAAGTATAGAATAAAATACTCAAACTAGAGTGATATATTTGGAATCACTTCCTACTCTTCTGCTTCCATTATATCCTCTTCTCACACACTTAAAACCCAAGGCTGTATGAAAATATAAAGGATATGTAATCAAATGACAACTTCAGACAATGAAAATGCACATCAACAATTTCCATTTTCTATTTGTTATTTTTATGAAATTGAATTTCCACAGACACTAGAGTCATTTCCCATTTGGTTGGATTGTTTGATTATTTATTCTTTTGGTGCACTAGTAGGCACGTAAAGGAGATATAATTAGAAATTATTTCCTGTGGTTTAGATAAATCAAAAATTCTTTCAACAAGAAACAGGTCAGCTCTTTTCACCAACATATTTTCTGTAGATATACAAGAACCAATGTAGGTGACTTGGAAATACCAATATGGTGTAGACGTTTTCATGGTGATTTCTGTTCATTGAAGAGAATGGGAACCACTCTGTAGTTGAAAGACGACTGCTGTCCTCTCATCAACACCATTACATAAATTGTCGTTTCAATACCCGTATTATACAGTTTACAATGCAATTTACATGAGAATAGAAAATTTACATAAAATGTAAATTTAATCTACATCAATAAATGTTTTCTTTGTGAATTCTTTGTTTTAAGCTACCACATTTGAAAATATATCTTTGTTTTTCTTATTGTTTTTCAATGGATATGAAGGTGTTTACAATAAGATAAAAATTAAATGCAAATAATAAAGACTCAGAACTAAGGAAAATGTGAGTAGAAGGCATGTGCACATAGATGGGAACACAATATGCAGGACTTAAATGGTTGTTATGAAAATTTTAATTTTGCCCTTGAGTTTCCTAGCAGGCAAAGTAACAACGGAGACTGGAAGTAAAACAATTCAAATTTTTATATGAGGAAGAATATCTTTAAGAAGTGATTTACCATAGTTTTTCATTAACTTCTCTTAGAATTGATCTCTCTGTATATCTGTAGATAAGTAAAAATAATTTTATAACTCCAAATCAAACATAAGAACAAAAATTTAAATTTGATGTTAGTCTATACTAAAATGCCATTTCCCACATATGACTTAAAATCTGAATATTACATAAGTAAACACTTTGAAAATAATATTTTTGGGTTTAAATAGCAGGAAATTAATTAATTTTTCCTCTTTAAATAAAACTCTGTGGTATTGGATGTAGTTAGTGTACAGTACTCACAATTTCAGCACAAGGTGTCGCTCTTTACTTGGTGGAAATAGTTCATTCAAGGAGTGGTCAGACCATCCACGAACGCCCCATTCAAAACGACTCCATCATGCCGGTCGCTACTGTTAACGGATCCTTTAAAGCTTCTCAAAAATTCAGCAAGATTTTACAGCCGAAACTGGAGTCGCTGGTGCTGTAAGTGTAAAGAATCTTACTTTGCAAGTCAATGCCATATGCGATGTTGGAATTTCAAAAAAGGGGATTCGGCACTCAGCAATTGCTGCTTTCGCTTCTGTTCCTCGCACTCTGGGAGGCTGGGAGCGGCCAGGTCCACTACTCGGTCCCCGAGGAGGCCAAACACGGCACCTTCGTGGGCCGCATCGCGCAGGACCTGGGGCTGGAGCTGATGGAGCTGGTGCCCCGCCTGTTCCGCGTGGCGTCCAAAGGCCGCGGGGACCTGCTGGAGGTGAATCTGCAGAATGGCATTTTGTTTGTGAATTCTCGGATCGACCGCGAGGAGCTGTGCGGGCGGAGCGCGGAGTGCAGCCTGCACCTGGAGGTGGTGGTGGAGCGGCCGCTGCAGGTTTTCCATGTGGAGGTGGAGGTGAAGGACATTAACGACAACCCTCCCGTGTTCTCGCTGAAAGAACAAAAGCTGCTGATTTCTGAGTCTAAGCAACCTGACTCGCGGTTTCCTCTAGAGGGCGCTTCTGATGCGGATATAGGAGAGAATGCCCGATTGACTTACAGCCTAAGTCAAAATGAGTTTTTTTCTTTAGAATTACCAACAAATAGTAAGCAGACTAATAGACTGTCACTTGCATTAAAGAAATCTCTAGATAGGGAGAAAACTCCCGAAATTGGTTTACTACTGACGGCTGTAGATGGGGGGAAACCGGAGCTAACTGGCAGGGTTCAGCTTTACGTCCAGGTCTTGGATACAAATGACAATGATCCGGAATTTGAACAATCAGAATACAAGGTGAGCTTAATGGAAAACGCAGCCAGTGAAACGTTTGTGATAAAGCTGAACGCTACAGATCGAGATGAAGGAATCAATGGGGAGGTAACATACTTCCTGCTGTCGGTTAAGCCCAGTGGAAAACCCTTATTTACAATAGATGAAAAAAATGGAGAGGTGAGGGTCAATGGAACTTTAGATTATGAAAAAACCAAACTCTATGAAATTGAAGTGCAAGCCACAGATAAGGGAAGTCCTCCAATGGTAGGTCATTGTACAGTCTGGGTAGAAGTCTTAGATGCCAATGACAATGCCCCGGAGGTCACCGTGACCTCCCTGTCTCTTCCGGTCCCAGAGGACACTCAGCCTGGCACCGTCATTGCGTTGATTAGTGTATCTGACCGCGACTCTGGTGTCAATGGACAAGTTATATGTTATTTAACTCCCAAAGTCCCCTTCAAAATCATGTCCACATTCAAGAATTACTATTCACTGGTGCTGGACAGCGCCCTGGACCGCGAGAGCGTGGCAAATTATGAGCTAGTGGTGACTGCGCAGGACCTGGGCTCGCCTTCGCTGTCGGCCACAGCCAGCGTGTCCGTGGAAGTAGCCGACGTGAACGACAACGCGCCCACGTTCGCGCAGCCCGAGTACACGGTGTTCGTCAAGGAGAACAACCCACCCGGCTGCCACATCTTCACGGTGTCCGCGCGGGACTTGGATGCGCAGGAGAACGCGCTGGTGTCCTACTCGCTGGTGGAGAGGCGGGTGGGCGAGCGTGCACTGTCGAGCTACGTGTCCGTGCACGCGGAGAGCGGCAAGGTGTTCGCGCTGCAGCCTCTGGACCACGAGGAGCTGGAGCTGCTGCAGTTGCAGGTGAGCGCGCGCGACGCGGGCGTGCCGCCTCTGGGCAGCAACGTGACACTGCAGGTGTTCGTGCTGGACGAGAACGACAACGCGCCCGCGCTGCTGCCTCCCGGGGCGGGCATCGGTGGCGGCGGGGGCGGCGCTGTGAGCCAGCTGGTGTCTCGGTCTGTGGGCGCGGGCCACGTGGTGGCGAAGGTGCGCGCGGTGGACGCGGACTCTGGCTACAACGCGTGGCTGTCTTATGAGCTGCAGGCGGCGGCGGGTGGTGCGCGCAGCCCATTCCGCGTGGGGCTGTACACGGGCGAGATCAGCACGACGCGTGTCCTGGACGAGGCTGACGAACCTCGCCAGCGCCTGTTGGTGCTGGTGAAGGACCACGGGGAGCCTGCGCAGGTGGCCACGGCCACTGTGCTGCTGTCTCTGGTGGACAATGGCCAGGCTTCGAAGACCTCATTGCGGATGTCAAAGGAGGCCACGGACCCAAAGCTGGCACTGGTGGACGTGAACGTGTACCTGATCGTCGCCATCTGCGCAGTGTCCAGCCTGTTGGTGCTGACGCTGCTGCTGTACACCGCGCTGCGGTGCTCGGCCCCGCCCAGCGAGGGCGCGTGCGCGCAGGGGAAGCGGGTGCTGGTGTGCTCGAGCGCAGTGGGGAGCTGGTCCTACTCGCAGCAGAGGAGGCAGAGGGTGTGCTCTGGGGAGGGGCCGCCCAAGACGGACCTCATGGCCTTCAGCCCCAGCCTACCTCCGGGTCTGGACAGAGAAGATGGAGGCGAAAGGCAGGAGGCAGGATCAAGTTATCTTGGGCAGGTGAGTTCTATAGATTCTCTCTATGTTGAAGTCTAAGTTAAAATTTTAAACAATCCAGTTTCTATTTTAGAAAATGTTAATAACTACTGTGTATGTTGAGTATCTTTTAAAGAACAATGTTAGTGAAGTGAGGTATGATACAATTTTGAGCATATGAAAAATCTGAATTTTTAGCAAATAAATGCCTACTTTTTTCTAATACCTTGTTAGAAAATGTTAGAAAATGGGAGATTGACATTCCCATTATCACTTTATTAGAAAGATTTCTATTTATCACCGATCTACTCAGGTCACTTTATTTTATCTCTAATTCTCAGCGTTGTATTTAATCACTATTCTCATTCCCCTTGTCTTTAACAGCCTTTTGCCTTGAGAGTTTCATGTTATTAGATCACTTGACTTTTGTCACTTCAGGCTTGTATTGAAGATGCAACACTCTATTACAGCTGAAAGAATTCATCTCTCTTTTTCTGTGGTATTAAACATTCATCGTACACTTATTGTCCATCAGATAACCCCTAGTTTTGCTCTACTAAGATAAAACTTGCCTTACTATTATTTGCAGTAAAAATGCAGTCTTGCATTCTAGTATGCTGCTTTCATGAAAAAAAATCATTAAGAATTCTGTTTTTTTTTCATTTTGTTCCATGAAATGGGTAGAGATTTATCTACTTCATACTCACAACTCCCAGATTCAAGCTTCCAATGTAAACTAGGCAAAGTTGCTTATATTACTCGACTAAATCATTTAAATGTGTCAAAGGCATGTGTTTAGGTTTATCATATCTGAAAACATGCTAGTTGGTATTTTTCCTATTTTTTTAGGTTTACTTAGAAAAAAGTAAGTTAACTACCATATTTTGCCATGTTTAATACCTTCCCATGTATAATGCGCACCCACGTTTTGGCCCATACTTTCAGGAATAAAATCTTTCATTTTAATTTTTAAAATTAAATTATTTATTTATATTTGGAAACAAAACTGATTATCGTATTCCAGGGTATTATTTTGCATACAGATATCACTATTACTTTCTAGAGTTATACTTTTAATGCATAAGCATAAATGAAAGAATTAAAAACATTTATATAGATAGGGAATTAGTACTCTCCTGGTATAAAAAGCATCCTTATTTTTCCCTAAAAAATTTGGGTGAACAAGTATACATATACATGGCAAAATATGGTAATAATGTGAAGCCTAGTGGCAATAATTGACTTCATTCATTTCGTGTTTTAAAGATTTTATTTCTTTTTAGAGAGAGGGAGGGAAGGAAAAAGGTAGAGAAACGTCTTTGGTGGATTGCCTCTCAAATGCCCCCCACTGGGGACCTAGACAGAAACCCAGGCATGTACCCTGACTGGGAATCAAACCAATGACCTTTTAGTTTGCAGTCCAGCACTCAATACACTGACTTACACCAACCAGGGTATGTCACCTCTTGAAGGTCCTATATTTCAATGCTTTATTTTGAATGTTTGTGAAATTATCCTCCCATTACATATAGTCACATCTGAAGATAGTACCAAAGATCATTTGCATCTTGGTCATTTTTCTAATTCAGTGATTCTTACCTACCTGGAGGGTGGTCCATTGCTAACTTTTTTGTTAATGCAACAGAAGTCATATGTGGCCACTCTCCCCTTAAAATTCCACAGCATACCATTTGGCATAATACTGAAGGACCCCATGCTGAAGCTCATTCTTTGACCTCCCATCAGGAACCTTTGTATCTCAGTATTAATTGCCTAGAAAATTCAAAGTAGGCAACCAGATTAAAATATGAAATATTTCAGACTCAATGGTTAAACCATCCCATTTTTTATGACACTGTAAGTATAATAAATGCGCATGTTAGGTAGGGCATACAATGTTACCCATCTCTAAATGAAGTTCTTTGAATGACTCAAGGTCATTACAATTTAATAAACAAAGATACTGAGCCCTGGCTGGTGTGGCTTTATGGGTTGAGTCCCCATCTTTGAACCAAAGGGTTGCCAATTTGATTCCCAGTCAAGGCACATACCCGGGTTCTGGGCCACATCCCCAGTAGGGAGCATGCAAGAGGCAATCACACACTGATGTTTCTCTCCCTCTCTCCCTTCCTTCCTCTCTCTCTCAAAATAAATAAATAAAATCTTTTTAAAAATATTGAAATATTTTAAGTAGTTCAACATTTTGTAAATCATTGTATTTACAGTATATAAGTAATCAATGCACATTTTTATCATTTCAAACTATGTGAACTAATCTTTAAAAACTTAGTGTTATTATATTTATTCTACATATTACAGGATTATAATCTTAGTTGTAAAATTATTATTTCAATGTATTTATTTTCTAGTTCAATTGTTTAGCTAGTAAACTAAATCTAGGTGTTCCTATCTGTGTAATAATTTAATTATGTCTAACAGTGTGTGAGAACTCCCTAACACACCACTTTTTTTGTGCTCTGTACTCATTAAACAATAACTCCACAGGTTCCCCTTCCTCAGCCCCTAGAAACCACCATTCTATTTTCTGTCTCTATGAATTTGACTAGTCTAGAACCTCATATAAGTGGAATATTATAAAATACAGATATAGAGTATTTTTTGTGACCGATTTATTTTACTTAGCACAGTGTCTTCAAGGATCATACAGCTAACATGTATAGAATTTCCTTCCTCTTAAAGGGTGGGTAATGTTCCATTGTATATTTTGTATATAATCCACATTTTATTTCCTTGCTCAGTAGAGTGGGAAAACTATAAACTCATTTCCTTACATAAAAGTGGGGCAGTAATTAGCATATGTGTGGAGTCTGAGAAACCTGAAGCTAGGACTTTAATTCAAAATTACAAGTTGTTAGGGTAATATGTAAAACAAACTGATTTTGAACATACTGCTTTTTTCAGTACAGTTCTTAGCGCTTATGGCACATTGACTATTTTTGAAAATGGAAGATAGAAAACGAAGGGTGATATTAGACAATTTAACAGTTTGACAGCATTGAATTCAAAGTTAGTATTTTTGATTAATTAAGAGCCAGTTTTATAGCTGACTTGTCATCTTATGCTTGTAGAACCATTTATGGTTATTATTTTCTGGTTCTGTAAAAAGTTCATATCTCGGTTCCCTTTATTCCTATTATACACGGAAGAAATGGTAACAAATTATTGCTTTAAAGATTTTTGCATTGAATTTTAGTAACTTTATAAAATCTATATTTACTTGTTCACAAGTAGCTGTGGGATCTTACTAGTTTTATTTTCTCTTAAAGCTGGTCTTGAATTTATAAATAAAATTATAGAAAATATTTTGATTTTTCCTTTCATTTTGGTTACCTAATATTTGTAAAAAGATTTTATTTACTTATTTTTAGAAGGAGGAAAGGAGATGGAAAGAGAGGGAGAGAAACATGGATTGGGTGACTCTTGAATGTGCTGGACCAGGGACCAAAGCCACAACCCAGGCATGTGCCCAGACCAGAAACTGAACCAGTGACCTTTCACTTTGTGACATGACACACACTGAGCCACACAGTTGGGGCACAGTCACCTAGTTTTCTGAAGAGAGGCACATTCTGAGTAATGAAGTGGGAAAATTTAGAGGAAAACCAAGGGGTTATTAAGAAGTTCATATTCTTTTGGGGGGACTTCCTCCAAGATGGAGGCGTAGGTGAAAACATCTTGTGTCCGTGCACAGCCAAATCTAAAAATAATTAAGTTCTAACAACAATAAATGCAACCAAACCACACAGAAAATCGACAATACAGAGTCCGAAAAAAACCAACCACTTAGCTAACCGGTGAGAGGGGCAAAGCCAGCAGCAGAGCGGTTTTGCCAAAAAGATCCCCGACAGGGGTGGTGTGCAAGCAGCTGAAGGCGCGGATCACAGGTGCGGGCTAGCTACAGGGGACACAAAGAAGAGGCGTGGCTGGCTGGCTCCGGTGGTTGCACATTTGCGTGCAGATAAGCCAGTGAGGAGGCAAGCATTGAGACTGCACTGAGCAGGGTGGTGGGCTGGCACATTTCCGCTCACATAAACAGGCGAGGGGTGAGCGGTGGGACGGATTGGGCCAGGAGAGAGGACTGCCATTGCTCCCTCTCTGACCCCGCCCCTGGCAATTGCATTGCCACTAATAGTACATATTTAAAAATAGGCATTTACAAATGATTCATGAAAACATCCAAAAGTGAAAACAATTTAAAGTGACCCATAAAGTGGCTAAACTGAAAAAAAACAAAAAAAACAAACCTCAGGATTTTTCTCGTACATACACAAGCAGTCACATGATGTCGCTGCACACTCAAAAGGTGAAAAGAGACAAATTTGTATCCGAGCCCTGATTCCAGGCACTCACAGAATAGGATCGACTCCCCATCAACCGGGATTATGGGTAAAATTGACTAAATATACTTACAGTAAAGGGAGACGGCTCATAAACTTTCCCGAAGAGCCTTCCCTTGAAGCGTACAGGGCTACCTCGGAGGCCTCCTTATCTACGATGGTGTTTACAAGGCGAGGAGGCCCAGGAGCCCGGCGATCTCGCTTCTGCTCCTCGCGGTCTGGTAGGTGGGGAGCGGCCAGGTCCACTACTCGGTCCCCGAGGAGGCCAAACACGGCACCTTCGTGGGCAGCATCGCGCAGGACCTGGGGCTGGAGCTGGCGGAGCTGGTACCCCGCCTGTTCCGCGTGGCGTCCAAAGGCCGCGGGGACCTGCTGGAGGTAAATCTGCAGAATGGCATTTTGTTTGTGAATTCTCGGATCGACCGCGAGGAGCTGTGCGGGCGGAGCGCGGAGTGCAGCCTGCACCTGGAGGTGGTGGTGGAGCGGCCGCTGCAGGTTTTCCACGTGGAGGTGGAGGTGAAGGACATTAACGACAATTCGCGGGTGTTCGCCGGAGAACAAAAGGTACTGATTTCTGAATCTGCACCTCCGGACTCTCATTTTCCTCTAGAGGGCGCTTCCAATGCGGATATCGGGGTAAACTCTCTTCTGATTTACAGCTTAAGTCTAATCAAGTATTTTACTCTTAACATATTGACAAAA